CTCCGTAAAGCCGTTTTTCAGGACATGCGATACCTAAATGAGGTATAATGATAAAAAAGTTTGTACCAAAGGCATAGCACGCGGACAGAATAGGATAACATGCGATTTCTCGACTTAGCAGAGCTATATCCGCGAGACTACAGTGCCTAAAAAAAGTACGTGGCCAGCTTGACCTTTGGTTCTACGAAAAAACATTTCATTTCTGCCATGAGATCTAGATATCCCGAAGCGGTTGTTAAGATCTGAACATCATGCTTTTAGTGTAGCACGCGGACAGAATAGGATAACATGCGATTTCTCGACTTAATTTCAAGCAACACGGAAATACCAAATCGGAACCCATTCTTTTTTGAACAGGAGTTCATCATAAGAGCTATTATGACGGATTACGGCGACGCTGGGATGCGTGATAGACAGGGCACATCTGCAGGTGAATCCCAGCGAAGGGTAGCATTTGGTCGGCGGAGGGAGTGAGAGGTGGAAATGGCCGTAGAAGGTTTTCCATAGCAGATCGTTGCTGTTTCACGCGCACTATGCAGAACGATGGCTCCATTGGAGTCGTCTTTGCTAGTCCACTGCGCTAGATGGCAGTTTTTGGGGTGCACAAATTCTGGAAAACGCGGGAAAAGCTAGGAATCAGAGAGACTTAGGAAGATGGTGTTTATACAGGAAGATTAAACTAGTGGAGAGTGTCCTATTTTGTTCATTTTGCAGAAATTTTCCGCAGCGAAAAGAAGTGGTGTGGTCAGAATGGTTGGGTTTAGCACGGTGCCAGCCCGTTTTCCACACACAGTTGTCGGTTGCCCTCTAGAAAAATTAGTAGAGCATTGCGGCTGGGCCCACCATCAGCACCTACCCCCCCCCCCTCACAAACGCACAGCGTTCTGCAATGCGAGAAGCGACTGTATGATATGCTGCATAGTTCTTCACAGCGACATTGTTCGGTACCGTTTGCAGACATTAAAACGTAAGAATAGAAGAAGAATAGGTGCTGAGGAAGGGGGGGGCGCGTGGGCGGAGGATTGAGTGGGTAATATTCGAGCTTTTTCGGTTACTGTACACATTCAACGAGGTTCCCTCCCTTAAAGTCCGCTCTCTCGCACAAGCTCACTTTCAGTAGAATGAAGACGACAAGCGTGAGAACGGTTTTCATCCTACCCTGCACTCTGTCTAACCGAAGCACAGTTAGCCAGCGTTCAGACACCGCGACGACGCGATGTGACGCCCGTTGCTGGTGTTTGAAAGCTGGAACCCCGTCTTACGGCCTGCGTTCTCCTCCACTATATTAGGAGTGCCAATGCGTTCAGACTTTACGAGTCGCCGCGCGTCATCGCGAAGTCTTACCAGCCAAAGTGTGAGGAACCATCTTTGTTTCCAAAGAAATGATTGAAAAGCCACTAAACAAAACTACCTGCAACATCGTCCTTCCGCTTTTTTTGCAACAACTTTAAAACCGGGCGCCACAGTTTTCTCCGTCACAGAGTCACCATGAGTCAATAGCACCTAAACAATAAAATGAGAAGATGTCATCGGATTACGAATGCGTCATAAACTGCGACTCGGAAGAGTAGGAGATTAGGAGAATGCGCGAAAAGGAGTAGTTGGGGCTGTATCGATTCAAAAAATTGGCACCGATACTTTGTATTGTCGTACTTTTCTAAGTCGCAAAACATGAACTCGTTCCAAACGGATCAAAACTAACCTGCTCGTTTTCATTAAGACCATAAAAGAGATCACAAGAGGTATCTAGCCACACTTTACACTGTCCATCTTCCCTGACATGCTCCCTAGCGACATCACCACCGTGTGCCTTATTTATCAGCTGAAATTCGATTACTAGAAGACACTAATTCAGAAAAATAACACATCACCTACCTGAAAACCGTAGCATATCCCCAGAACAGGTAAACCACACAGGAAAATTTCTGGATCAGGTTGGGCAGCGCCTTCAACATACACTGAATTTGGGCCACCCGAGATTATTATAGCTCTAAAAGAAGATGTAGTCAATTTTCAAAACTTTAACCTTCTCAGACTTTCTGAACACAGTTTTGTATGTTTCCTCGTAACAAAAGTCGGAAGCTGTTCGGCTTAGGAGGGGCATTTTGCACTTTCGCCCGGTCCTTTGACAAGTTCAAGTTAACTAACAAGTTTCATATCGGTGGGACCTGTAAACTCGTGCGAAGCTGTGAGTCACTTTTGCTTACAAGATTTACAATCTTCGCCACAGGGCATGACGCTTTTGTTGAGAACTGCGCAAACAATTATCTTATCTAAAATGAGTTCTAGTGCAATCAAAAATTGGAAATGTGCAAAGCATGCTCGGCAACTGAAAGATTCATAAAAAGTCGGACAAGTAGCAGTTCTGAAAACCTAGACATGTACAACAAGATGCCACCTACTTGAAGTTTCCTTTCTTCAAGAGGTCCTTCGCCTTCGTCTTCAAGGGGAACATTTCCGAAAGGACATTCGCCTCACGTACACGACGGTCTATTACCTTAAGTAAAGCTTATTCTAATAGTCAGGCTTTGGACTACCTAATTGCCTGAAAACCTTGCAAACGAAAAAAAACTTTCAGAATTCTAGTAGCAATCGATCGTCCGTAATAAAAACCTATCACAAACTCTTAACAAGCCACAGTGAGCATTCTACTACTTATAAGAGATGACGTGTCAAATGAAATCTCAAGGCGGCATCTATACTTTACGACTTAGCAGATTCGGCAATTCAGCGACTCGCTGTTTCGGGCGATTGCGGATCAACGGAGTGGAGTATCAAGCGGCGCCGGTTGCTAGCGATTGCGGAGATTCGGCGGTCCGGCGATTTGGGTGGCTGGGCTTTTCGGGGATTGCGCGACAAGAGAGTGGGCAGGTACCGATCAAGCCGGCCGGTAACCATCCACTCTCATGGCGCGCAACCGCCCAAAACGCCAAGGCTACGAAAATGCTGCATCACTCAATCTTCCAATGCCGAATCGCCGAGTCGCCCAAAACGCTGCATGGCCAATTCTCTCCAATCGATCGATACCTATATTTCCCTCGTCGCGCAATCTCCCGAATCGCTGAATCTTCTCAGTAGCAGTGTCCAACTTCTCTCTTCGTAAAACCTCGGCATTGTTGTTACGTTTGATAAGTTGTTCTGTGCACACGAGGTTGGTAGGTGGAACTTTTATTATGGCCAATTTCAAACCATGAGCCACGTTTAGGCACTGATGGAAGACGACCTAGTCGAAACGTCAGACCATGATAAAAGTTCCACCTACCATGTGCATAGAACAACTTATCAAACTTCTCAGTAGCAAAGTACGGGGCTTAATGGCAAGTGAACCTGTACTGCCCCACTGATATTGTCTTTTAGACCGTCACAGACACCTCAACGTGTAATGTGACGTCAGCTACACGTCATATATCTTTCAGCAAAAGCATGCAGGGTTTTCTACCTGTGCCACACCAGCAACAATCACTGAAGTATTACATTCACTCGGAACAAAAAACACTTTCGTACCTTTCCATATTGTGCTCCAAAGTCAAGCACTGCAACACGGTCAATATTAGCGGGTCCATCTCCTGTTCCATTGATACCCATTTTCTCAATTCGTTGAGCTTCAATTATAGCGGAATTCAAACGCTTATGAGGTGGAGGCTGCAATTTTACACTTGTAATGGGTTGACGAGTTATTACAGATTGCTGACACTTTACCTGGATGGCAAAGTTTTTAGCTAGAACGGAAAAAAATAGAAATACCGTAATGTAATGCTCTGCCTATGCCTTAAGCCGCAATCATACTTCGCGACTGAGCAGATTCGGCGAGTTGAGCGATGGGGCGACGGAAAACGTAAAGGCACCAACCTGCGACTGAGAAGATTGAGCGATCTGATGATTTGAGAAACTTGGCGTCTACCGCTTTGGAAGATCACAGAATCTGTGCAATCGCTAGAGGCTATCGGCTCATTCACTTCCTTGGCACGCAACCGCCGGAAACATCCAGGCTACCGAGTCGCTGGATCGCTCAAGTCTTCCGCAATCGCAGATCGATACCAATACTTACCCGTCCCCTAGCGATGTCTCAAATCGCCGAATCTCTCAAATCGCAAATCTCCTCAGTTGCAAAGAATGAAAGCGGCCTTGAAGGGCAAGGAGCTCAGGGGTAAGTTAGGCAATTGCAAATACGGTTATTCTATCCAGACGATGTTATCTCAGTTCTGCGCGAGGAGTCCTTCAAATGCTATCTTTGAGCTCATTAGCGACAAGTTCTATTAAGAGTACTAAGCGCTGCCTAAAAACTCTAGAAGAGACCAAAATCCCATGTCATGGAGTCATAACAATATGAAATCGTGTTCAGTAATATCATGAAGCGTTAACATAGTCGTAAAAACGGTTGAAGTTATAAAAGTTCTTGAATGGCGCTCGCCCACTACGTGGGAGGGAGCATTCTGCAAATTTTTATCAACATACCGAGCAATCTTGTCAGGCTAATGCCGTTTGGACTCCAGCAATTTCGGCACCGAGCTCATTTTTAAATTGCCTAAGTCACCAAATCCGCTAAAAACTTGTATATAGGGGTAGTTTAACATCCTGATTACGAATATGACATTCATTCTTGGCGCTGGCGCTAATGGATGACACTACGATTACCTGCGCTCTGCTAAGGCTGAGCCCAGGAGGTAATCGTAGTGTCATCTCTTGGCGCCAGCGCCAAGAATGAGTGTCATAATTGTAATCACGATGTTAAATAACCCTTGTGTACATGTTTTCAGCGGGTTTGGTGACTTAGGCAATTTAAAAATGAGCTCGGTGCCGAAATTGCTGGAGTCCAAACGGCATTAGCCATCTTGTCAAGCGCTGTAAACTCCTGTAAAGATACGACATTGAAACTACGCTTATGAACTACGCCTATCAAAACCATATTATAAGGAAGTAAGCAAAAAAGGTAGGAAAAAAAGGTGCGACTGAATGACAATGTCCATTTGTCCGAGCATTTTCGCGGAATGAGAAAACTTATTTGAAAAAAAGTATTGAGCGGAGTTACTGCTCCGGTGGGGGCCACTAAATCGGTATGTAATTGAAGCTACTTTCAACCTTGGGAAACTGATTAAATCGCGTGTAACTGAAGTCGATACCATATTCGTAGTTCAACAGGAATTTACATGGTTCGCACACAAGATGAGACTTGTCATTTTAAAAGGAACCAGCCAAATGCAACTTCGAACTTTAGCAATGCCTGGAGTCGAACAGCGTCGTGGTCTGGGGTTCACCTGAGCATCTGCCACAAGAGTTTACAGCACATTATGGAATTGCACGGCACATCAATAGAAGGTTATAAAGTGCCCTCAATCGTAGCATTTTCAACATTTTCTTGGGTATCTGCCCGAAAGAATGCGTTACAAAATTCGAGAAGTAAGCGTCGACCAGTCACGAGACGAAATGCGCCGACACGGACCGGCGACATACGCGCTCAGCGCTAATCGTTGAACCTCTGCAAACCTGAAAAATAAGCTTTACTGGACTCGAAGGAGCAGTGACAGCAGTTCAACGATTAACAGTGCATAGCGGTGGGTCGCAATAGAGCGTTTCAGCGCGCAACTGTTCGTGAGGCCCAGATTGATCCAGACGAAGTATGAAGCGCGGCTAAACCGAGAGTATACGCCGAGCTAAGCAAATTCGGTTTCCTGTACAAATAGTCGACAGTCGGCTTTATTACCCAACATCGCGATTTTACACTTAAAAAGTCATTAAGTAAAATGCTCATGCTCGAGACCATTTGTCCCCGCTGTCCGAGATGGGCCGGAGGGCGAGCCCCTACGCGCAATTCATCATTCAGAAGAACACTCTACTTTATCCACAGGCATGGGTTGGTTCATCCAATAACGACGGCAGTAAGCAACGTTTCGGGCCGCAGTTCGGCGACGGGGTGGGGGAGGAATTTCGCACTTTCGCTGCTTCTGTCCGTTTTACAAGTCTCACTCTGAAACTTTCGAACTCTCGTGAAGCTGGAGCAAGCCCGTCGAGCCAAATTGGTAAATGGTATTCGTATAGCATTTAGTTCCTTTACAAGTGTTGAACAAAAGTTGACGGGTGGTCTCTACAAATTTTGGCCCGTATTTGGCTTTCATGGCTCTACAAGATTTCACACGTCTCCACTTGATGGTACGGCACGTCCATGGGAAGTAACAGAAGTGGAATCACCCCCTCCCGTAACCGAACTGCGCCTCAAAATGTTAGTAGCGATGCGTTGGAGTTTTCTGTTGGAAATATTCAAGTCCAAGTCAAGGCTTTTGAAGGAACAATTTTCGAAAGGAACAGAGAATGGTCTAAATTCTGCTAAACCATATGTGTGGCCGAGAAAATGTGATCAGCGGTGAAGCTCAAGAAAAGCGCATATGTCGCAGGAGAAAAAGCAAAAGTCGCAATAGCCTCGATCAAGGCTCCACGGAGGCGTGATCGCTATGTGCCGATAGCGGGCGAGCAACTGATGTAACGGAAAAGCAAATCGATTTGACGGCAACTGTTATAAGTATTCACAACTAGTCGTGCAGTAGCACAGCATAAACAAAAGTCCCACCAACATTATGACTTTCCGGTTCGTTCTTGTGGGCGGTGTTTTCGAACGTTTCGACGGGAGAAAAGGTTGACGACCAACGTCAAGTAAACAACGTCGTGAAAACGGGAGCACTTGAACGATTTTCGCTCTGCTTCACCATTGCCGTTCCTCTCATAAAGCCACACTTTCTGTAGCTTTCTCATGTACAGTAAGTCATAGAGTTTATCAGTGCAGTTCGGCGAAGGGCTAGGATAATGCGGTAGCTGGACAGGACCCTCAGCGGAAATAGCCCTAGAGGATTGACCTACATCGCCCACAAAGTTGGATCAAATCAAACCGTTCTCCTGTAAAAGCGCTAAACCAGGTTTCTAACATTGGCTGCCCACGTAACATTACGAAAACACATAAGCATGCCTCTAGGGTACCTTGTCTGGACAAAATTTTTCTGAAAACTAAAAAGACAGTTGGATTTACATAATCGAATAGTATTTATATCTTGCTCTTTCACCTTTCTGACCCGTTTTCAACACATCTCCTACAACTGAAAGTCTTTCCGAGCAAATGACCACAACGATGTAACTCTTGGAATTATGCGAATGTGGTTACACTATTAAGATTGCGCAATCGGTTCATGTCCTGGTGATTTTTGGACTCTTCTATGCTTCACAAATGAGAACGCATTGAAGACTATTAACGATTCCACGCCAGTAACGTGGCACAGATGGAGCCTCAAACCAACTTCTGGCGCGGTTCAGTGACCGGGGGGAGGGGGCATTTCGCATTTATGCTATTTCTCATCGACGTGTCGCGCCATGAAGTGGAGAAAAAAAAATCATACAACACAATAATAGGTTGGAGGGAAAGTGTTGTCACTCTTGTGAATTTTTTCTTCCTCACTCAATATACACAAAAAGAGGAGATTGCATAGGGCCAGGGCATCGCCTTCATAAGCACTACTATCTCGAAATGGGTACGCGGAAGATGCGTGCCGCATCCCACGAAGGGATTGATGAACGGCGAAGACTGTCCAATTATCCTTTTGTTGCTAAAAGCTCCACGTGCCCTTGTCACAGTTTATTTTTAAATTTTGGCGCAGTTTGGCTTGGTGGGCATTTTGCTAGTTCCCATCAGCCTCTGCTGATGCCTCCTATAGGTAGCTAGCTATATGATAGCGAGCCTCATTCAGAATTGACAAGATTCCAAAGATCTCACAGAATTGAAACGTTTAATGAAACAT